CCAGCATGGCTGACTTGTGTGGCCCTGGACCAGTCCTCATCTCTCAGAGCTTTCAGTTCTCCTGGTATGAAGTGGACTAATTATACCTGCCTCAGAGGGTGCACGCAGGCCTGGAGGGGACAGGTGCCTGCTCCCTGCAGAGGAGGGCATGCCCTTCTTTCTCTTTGCTGGGGTCCCCTACTTGGGTTTCATCTGACCTGGATTAAATGTCTGTTACGGGCCAGGAACTGGGCTGGGGGCCGGACATCTGACTGGAAGAAGAGGACCCTTTGGGGACCCAGAGCCCTGCATGGCAATAGGGTCCCCCAAGGCAGGCGTTAGGAATGACAGGTGGTGTTGCCCCAGCCACGTAGGTGGTCACCTGGCTCTCCACCTGCGGAAGGAAGCAGGGCACCTTTGAGGAGTTCCCTGGCCAGCGTTACCAGCTGCCTTACCTTCTCGATATTGGTGATGGAAGCATGGGTAGTAATCATAGTGTCAAGGGAACAAATTGAATTTCTGCATTCTGTTTTAAACGTATTTTTGCCCTAATGACGATTTATAGTTTATTTGTATCGTTATTGACTCAAGGAGGAAAAGAAGTGATTTTTCCTAACTCCAAAAGGATCTGAGCAGTTCTTATACTGGTTGAGTTCATTATAACAAGATCAATAAAGACAGTGTTAGTGGATTAAATATTTTAAAACTCAATTTCCCATAAGCAGCATACAGTGAATACATAGAACTTTCTATAACAAACACATAAACAAGCCAGATAGTCCCAAGGTTAGAGGTTACATAACAAGGAACCATTGTATTCAAAGTAGCGTCACGAGGGAGGACATGGTAAACAAGGCACTCGACGCAGGAAAACGTGGCGGCGGAACGAAAGGACCTTCACCTTCGCCGCGGCTGGTGTCACGTTCTCGATAGTCTCTGATGAATATTCCCCACCTGTGTCCACATCTCCCCAGCACGCCGGAGCGGCTAGCCCCGGGTGCTGTATGCTCATAGGCAGACTCCGAGGCATCCCTGCTCAAGGTTCCTGCTCTTAAAATCCATAGCCCTTGGTTTTTGCTTTTAATTTAACCAAGGATGAATTCAGTAATTTGGGGTTTAGTTATTTCCAACAGGCAGAGCTCCCTGTTGCTATTTGCTGTGTCTGCCATGCCCTCCAGAGGGCTCTATGCGCCATGCGCACACGTAGGACGCACATGGATGGCATTACATATGCACGACGCGTGTGGATGCATTCCGTGCGCGTGTATGATGCGGGTGGTCGCCGGACAGCCTGGCGTCTACGACGGTGTGCGGGCTCGGGCAGGTCCTTCCTGGGGCAGGTCCGGGTCCGGTGACTCCCAGCCCTGCTGCCCCACTGCCTCCTGCGCCGAGCACCGCGCAGGACGGTGACGCATGGGGTACCGATTTCTGAGCCCCAGCCTTGTGCTAGACCTTCCCTGGTGGAATCTCCCCCTCCGTGTTGCCCGTGAGCTGTTGGGAAGCCTATTAAAAATTTTAAAATCTTTTCGTTTCGGACCCTTTTAGCAGATACAGCAAAGGCCTGGCTCTTAGAAACAAAAAGTAGGAAAAAGGATAGAAAGCTTGGCTTGTGTCGTAACGGGGACATGAAGGACTTGGGAGACATGGGGCCTCTTCCTTGTCTCTTTAGGAGGTTGAAGGAGAACATCCAGAGATACGTGGGTTTTTTTTAGCAGAAAAAGCTCAGCCCTCATCTTTCAGCGCTCAGCTTCTGCTTTTCCTCCCATCCTTTCCTCATTGTTGGCAAGACTGTGTCACTGCACTTTTCGAAAAAACATGGCTAATCCACTGCTGTTTCTGAAATAAGCATATGGTTGTACGCCATGGGCCAAGAAACAGGGAAGACTCTTCTCCAGGCAGATAGTTTATTTTTCCTCCTGGGCCTGAGGACCAGCTAGTGGCTCTGAACGAGCATGAGGCCCACAGTAGGCACCGTCGCCTCTGCCAGGAGAAGAGGCACTGCTCAGCGCCGGGGCCTGCTCAGCAGCGTGGGGGCCACGGTGGCAACCGCGTGCTCCTTTTCCATCGAGGGGACGTGATGGTGGTCCCTGTCTTCCTCCTCCACATGGGTCCCCTGGCTACCCGGCTGGGCCCGGTGCCCTGAGGCCTGAGCTGCAGTCGGATGCCTGCCCCAGCATCTCCATAAGTGCTCTTCTGAGTCCTCCTAGGAGGAGGGCACCTCTCACCGGGCATCGCACAGGTGGTTTCTGACCAACTATAGCTTGATGGGTTTCAGGGAAGAAGAGGAAGCGGGTTTCCAGTTAGGTTGATTCCCTGGGACGTGAGTTTTTGCTTGAGAGAGTTGCTTGTCTCTTGACCTAATGAGACGCAAAGGAGCCAGACTACTGTAAGTCTGCTCGTCTCTCTGATGCCTTCTTAGAAGGATTATTTATTAAAAAACACGCACACACACACAACGTTATAACAATGATATTAGTGTAACCTAAAAAGTTATCTTAGCACCCCTAGAAGTTGGTGAATCTCTTCCCAGCCTCTTTCTGTATCAATCCCTACATAATACTTCTGTAATTCAAGAATAGGCATCAGGCGTTCTGTCTCACCAAAGAGCATGGTTGGTGATTCCAGTTTGGGAAGGCTTTTCAACATTCCAGCAGGCGGAGACCCGCGTTTGCCTTAAATGCTTCCCTTGGGTTGGACAGCTAGGCTATTGTTTATAGTCCCTTCACCATTATGGATGATAGGACCTGAAGTGGCCCTTCTTAACATCGTAGTGACACAGGATGGCCCCAAAGACTTCATGCGCTGCCCATTTGAGTGGTACAGTTAAGGGGCCTGTTGAGCTTAAAGCGGTATAGAGGCTTTGTTTACAAAACCTCAAGTGTCTCCAGAGGTTTCTCTGATGACAAGTAACTGCAAACTGGGCCCCTGGAAGGTCCTAGAGAAAAATCAACACAGTCCTCCATCAAGGGAAAGGTGACACTTTAGTAAAGAGCTTTCCCAAAAGTTTGTACTATGGAAAGAACATTTTGAAAACAGATGTTTGGTTTCCATCATTCTGTAATTTGTCACCAAAAACTATGTGAATGTGTCACCTATTAACACTACTGTTTGCACCCTTAACTTGAGAGTTTTTCTAATCTGCTTTAAAATCCTTGAAATGACAATGTCAGTGGATTTTGAACTGAAAACTATGAGAATGCGATAATGCCCTGTGATTAGTTGCAGGAACATTCTTCTAACTTGAGGGGAGCTGGGGCCTCGCTAGTAAAATGCTCACAAAATCCTTTGTATCCACGGTGGACGGAGGCGGATGGCGTCCCCCTCGTCGCCAGCCATGAGCATCTTCCCCCTGGGTCTGTGCATCTCTGGGAAGGGTCTTAGCTCTGATGGCCTTAGAGAGTAGACTGAAGCCGTAACTAGGCTCCTTTCAAATCACTGAGCCAGAGAGTTCCCTACATTTGAAAAAAAAAATGGAAGCAGAGTCCATTTGGTAGCTCTCACTAAAAATGTTATAACTCATGTGATTTAACGATTTCAAAGAGGTTTGTTGATACTCTTAGAAAATGGCACATTCAAATATATTTTAAAATATTGGTTATCTTGTTCCCATCTCTCCTTTAAAATAGTTTATTTTTAGTGTCTTAATGCACATAAGTTACTGGCATGGAAGTGCGACGTGTAACTCACAAGCACACACACCTCCCTGCAATGTGTGCTTAAGGGCTGTCCCTTGCTCGGTGTGCTGCCAGACAAACGTGCAGACCACGGATCTAGGCAAATTGGATTTATAAAGGGTCCTGCTGTAACCTGAGAGTAGCAATCGATGACTTTCATTTCCTTACCTGGTGAACTGGTAGAGTCCTGGGCGGTGGGCGGGGGGGGGGGGGGGGGGGGGGGGGGGGGGGGGGGGGGGGGGGGCGGTCCTGAGCACAAAGCAGGGCAGCCTTCTGGAAGTGCTTTCTGAAATGAATGAGCAAACGTGGTTTCTGGGTTCCTGTGAGAGAAAATGATGCTTGAGATCTTGGCATCATGTTGGTCTCCTTGGCCACCAGCTTCATGTGTTCCTAACTGCCGACGGCCTCAGTCCAGTGGAGGACTTTCTGGGGGCCAGGGCCCGTCAAGGTCATCTCTCTGGGGCAGGGGGAACGCTTGCTGACCTCTGTGGCGGAAGCCACCTTCACGTTCTTGGTGGGTGTCGCATAGCAGGTGACATGCCTGTGTGATGGCCCGGCCCCTGGGGACCTGTCCGGCGGTGAGAACGGCTCCCGAGGCTGGTCTGGTTTCTGGATGCATTCTCAGCGGGCTCGCATTGAGTACACGAGGACTACGGCCTCTGCTCTGGGACACACGGTGGCACGACACAGAGGAACGAGTGCTGGCTTTGGACCCCACCAGACCTGGGCTCAGGGTCAGAGAGCCATTCCCCGCGTGTCCTGCCTAACCAGTGAGACCTCAGTGGGCCACACCGCCTTTTCTGCTGGCGCCCAGGCCCCGTGGGGTCCTGCTCTCACTGGTCGCCCAGAGTGTCGTGCTACCCCTCCCCACCACACCCTGAGCAAACCCTTCATGGTCATGGATGTAAGGTCACGGGTGTAAGATGGTGGATCCCACAGAGATCACTTTGGAGCATCTTGCTTTTTCTTTTTTAGACTCCTGGGTAAATAATCTCTGTATTAGCTGTGCAGCTTTGACAGTGTTACTTAATCTCCCCGAGTCTTGGCTTTTCTTCAGTTGTAGAGCAGGTTTCGAGCAGTTGTGTGGCTGAAGTGAGTTGATACACGGTGTTTACGGAACACAGGCAAGCTGGTGTTCACGGGTCCAGCCCTGGGGGGTGGTTCCGCCAGTCAGGGGCAGGGTTGGCCAGATAGTGAGGCTGACGTTGCTGCTGCCTCTGTTGTGCTTCCAGAAGGTCTCGTGGCCCCGTTGGGCCCAGAGCTCTAGGCCAGATGGCGTCTTAGTTTTGAGATATTTATCTTGTGGTCCGAGTATTTTCTTAACGCTCTCTTCTGTTTGTGTTGTAGGAACCCAGCTCTTCAGCGCTCAGAGTGACTTCAGAATTACTACCTTGAAATTTCACCCAAAAGACCACAGCCTTTTTGTGTGTGGAGGCTTCAACCCTGAAGTCAAAGCTTGGGATATAAGGACTGGCAAGGTGATGCCCGTCTTCTTCCCGTGGCCTCTCCGCAGGGGGGGCTTGCCTCGGGCGGTGTGAACGGCTGGTGGGGGGGGGGGGCAGCATTTAGGTGCAGGACCCTGGAGACGGGTGATTTCCAGCTGATGTTTCATCCGGGCTCAGCGAAACGTGTATGTGTTCTGAAAGACCATTCTATATTGAAACATCAGGGGTGCGACTCTGAAAACATTTATTGAGTACCTACTGTGTGCAGATGTTTCCAGATGATATAAAATGAATAAGCCTTTGGGTTCCTCAAAGGAATACTGTGTGGATGCCAATAGCTGGCATGGAGCAGTACTGTATGTGTGCGTGTGGGCACGCGTGTGCGTGCGCACATGTGTGTGTGAGGGAGAGAGAGAGAGATTGGGCAGGGAGCAAGGGAGGAACAGGCAGCCATTCAGAGGGGTGAGGGCTTTCTGCCTGATGTGAGGCAGGCTTCTTAGAGATTACGTCCCTTGTTAGGGTCGGAACTGTCAGAATCGTGCCTGTCTCTGCTCTTCCTGTCACCCCCACACCCAAGCCTTGAGCAGATCCTGTGGTAGCTGGCTTGAGCTGCCACTGACTCTTGCTGGGATAATTGCAGTAGGTTCCTATGTGGAAGCCCTCTTTCCCCACTCCTCATAGTTCTCAACACGGCAGCCAGAGTGTCTGTCACGGTGTAAGTCCGATGTGCCTCTCCCCTTGTCAGAATACTCCAGGCTCTGATCTCACGGTAAAAGCCAGTGTCCCCACAGTGTCCTTCAATGCCTGCATGAGCTTCCCTTCCCACCTTCTCATCATCTCCAGCCTCACTGGCCTCCTTGTCTTTCCTAGAACACAGTAGCACATTCCTGCCTCAGGGCCTTTGCACCTGCTGTTCCTTCCACCTAGAATGCTCTTTTCCCAGTTTTCTCTGTAGAGGGAAAACTCTACAGGGTTTTGTTCAAATGCCATCTCTCCTGTGAGGCCTTCTCTGACCACTGTGATGCCCCCCCCCCCCCCCCCCCGGCCCCCCCCCCCCCCCCGGCATTCACTGGTCCCCTTTGCCACCTCATTGTTCTCCCTACTATGTGTCATCACCTGGACTACTGTGGATTTTACGTGTTTATCTGTTTGCCTGTCTGCCTTCACTTAAACATAATCTCCTCCAGGGGAGGGAGTTTTTTTCTTTTTAAAATACTTTTTTAATGTTTAAAAAACATTTTTGAGGTGGGTGGGCAAGAGAGAGAGGGAGACACAGAATCTGAAGCAGGCTCCAGGCTCTGGGCTGTCAGCACAGAGCCCGACGCGGGGCTCGAATTCACGGACCACAAGACCATGACCTAAGGCAAAATCAGATACCCAACCAACTGAGCCACCCAGGTGCCCCTCCTGGGTAGGGAGTTTTTGTCTGTTTTGTTTGCTGTTGACTTCTAGCTCCTGGAATAATGCCTGGCATCTAGTAGGCACTGAGCAGGCGTTGGATGACCTAGTGAGGGAATGAGGGAGGGAGGCAGTCCTGCGGAATGTGTATGTATAGCAGGTAGGAGTATGAAATGTGTGCAGGGACCAGTGACTGGCTCGACCTGGTGGGGCCCAGACTGCAGGCAAGGGCACTGGCCCCGGGCAGAGAGGCTTTCAGTGCTGTGAGTCTTGGCTTGGGTTAGCAGTGAGAAGCCAGGGCTGGGGGTGGGTTCATGGAAGAGTCGTGAGGAAGAGCCATAGGCTGATTGCCTCTGGGGGTGCTCCATGATTCTAGGCTCTCTTGTTTTCTTTAAAAAAATTTTTTTTAATGTTTTATTTACTTCTGAGAGAGAGAGAGAGAGAGGGACAGACAGCATGAGCAGGGGAGAGTCAGAGAGAGAGGGAGACACAGACTGAAACAGACTCCAGGCTCTGAGCTGGCTGTCAGCACAGAGCCCAACATGGGGCTCGAACCCACAAACCGTGAGATCATGACCTGAGCCGAAGTTGGATGCTTAACCGACTGAGCCACCCAGGCGCCCCTAGGCTCTCTTGTTTTTGAGGTCTGAGAAGCACTGCCTTGGTCTGAAGGAGCCACACGGCCACTTGAGTCCTACAGGGTAGTTTATAATAAAACCCTTTGAACTTTGAAAACTTTGAAAGAAGATACAGAATGTCAGAGTGCCCTCCTGCGTTTAGGATTCAGGGGAGTCAGTGGGCCCGCTCTGAAGGGCTCTAGGCTACGGCAGTGCTGAAGGGTTCTCCCTAAAGGCTCCCCTCCAGGACTGCCTCCTGCCCCACCTTGGATTCCCCAGATTTGAAGGTCAAGTTGCCCGCTGTAGGAAGACACTGTCCAAACAGGCTGTTTGAAGGGACTGCTGGCATTTTGAGAACCTAAGAACAGGGACAGTTTCTTTAAAGAAAATGTGAAGTTTTATCCATAAGTGTCTTGCTTAAAGTGATTCAAAAGTGGGAAAATTAAAGTACAGAGAGATGTGCTCTTTTTTTTTAAAAAAAAAAATCAAACATTTTTCTTTAACAAAGAAACTTCTTCTTAGAAAAATATTTGGAAAAGAGAGAAAAATTACCCATAAAGACATGGACACAGTGGGATTAAAAAAAAAAAAAAACAACACCCAACCACAAGAACACTTGTATCTAGGCTGCATGTGTTGGAAACTCTTAGTCATGCTGTTTGAAGTGAGGCCTTTGATTACCCAGCCCTGCTGACGGCCACGTCCCTTAAAGGTGTGCTTACTGTTTTTAGCCTCAAAGACCGAACACGTAAGAGATTACTCACCAAGGACGCCATCTGATTTAAGAGTTTGTTAAAAATATTGGATTTTCTCCTAGGGCAGACGCCATCTGACAGGCTCTGGAAATGCTGGGGGAGAAGCAATTAGAAGCAGATGTTGCTGTGACTGGTATTGGCATGTTTGCGAGTGTCTCCCAAGCTAATCATGTGGGGAAAGGGATCTGCACAGCATTTGTTTCTACTTCCCCTTTACTAGCAAGCAACCTGACTGCCGCTCCTCCCCCTCTGGGTGACAGGGCTAGTTGTATTTTGCATCAGTCAGGCTCAGGGACAGCTCTCCTGCTTCACTTACGTTTCCTCTGACAGGCGGTGCATGAGTGTCTCAAGGGGGAGAAGCCGGAGGACCAGAGAGGAAAGGCACAGGCCCCCTGCCCTTCTGGCTCCCTCCCCGGGGTGGCTTCCACCGGGGTGGCTCCCTTTCCATCCTGGGGAGCTGCCGCCGTATGTGGCGCTGTCCCTGGTGCTGAACTCTCCAGCTCGCTCCTGTGTAGATGAACATCTGGGGCTGAGCAGCTTGGCTTTTCTTTTCTTTTTTCTTTTTAAATTACCTTCAGGGACAGTGGTGTAAACTGCAGGTGCAAACAGGAGGGACACTGAGCTTAGCTTACAATCAGGACCAGCTCCCCACCCTTTTTTTAAATATATATATATTTTTTAAATTTATTTCTAGGAGAGAGAGACAGCATGAGCAGGGGATGGCCAGAGAGAGAGGGAGATACAGACTCTGAAATAGGCTCCAGGCTCTGAGCTGGCAGTCAGCACAGAGCCCGACGCGGGGCTCGAACCCATGAACCGCGAGATCATGACCTAAGCGAAAGTCGGACGCTTAACCGACTAAACCACCCAGGTGCCCCCAGCTTCCCCTTTTAAATACAACAGGAGGGACTGTTTTGTTGTAAAAGTAATATGTAATCGTATGAAAAACTTGGACAGTAGAGGGACAGAAAAGAGAAGGGGTGGTCTAGCCAGCGAAGGAAACATTAGTAACATTTTAGTATTTTTCTCCCATTCTTTTTCCGTGTGTGTGTGTGTGTGTGTGTGTGTGTGTGTGTGTGTAAAATGTTGGTCTTATTTTTATACACAATTTTATATTTTGTTTTCTTACATAGCACTGTCAGGGTTTTCCTTGTTATCACAGACTTCTGCAGAATTTTCAGTACATCCCTTTGATGCAGAGTGCTCACCTGACTTGCTTCTTGCTGAAACTTCTGCCTGGTGCTCAGAGCAGAGTCTGACATAAACAGGCACTCAATAAATATGGATCAAATGGGTCGTTTCAAATGGTTTAACTTATTAAGCCATTTCCCTAGGTTGGATAGTTAGGTTAGTTCCTTTTTTTTTTTAATTTAAAATTAATAGAGGTGAAGGTGGAGATCAGGGTCAGCAAACTACAGCCCAGGGTTACATCCTGCTTGCCTTCTGTTTTTGTAGTTTTCCTGGAGCACAGCCACACACTCATTTCTTTGTCACCTGCAGCTGCTCTCAAACTACAGTGGCAGAATTGAGTAGTTGTAACAGAGATCACATGGGCTGTGAAACCAAAAATATTTACGACCTGGCTAACACCTGCTATGGATAGGTCTGGCTGTAACATCTGTCACCCTATTGATTGTAGAGATCCATCCTGATCTGGCTGACAAGGTGGGTGCTTCTGTACCCCCCCCCCCAATTATGGGCATCCTTGCAGAAACCTTGTGCTCAGAGGATTTCTTTTCCAGAGAGCTGTTCTTCTGTCAAAGTGTGTGAGTAGTTTCTTGCTGTTGTGATCATCTCCTAACAGACCGTCTGGGTCTACTTTATTATGCATTCCACTATAAGACATCCATTTGTGCATTTGGTGTTTTCCATATTTCCATATTTCCTTAAGCTTGGGTCCCAGAACTCAAATCACTGGATCAAAGCGAATCAGCATTTAAAAGGCAAGGGGTAGGTTCCCGAGGACAGAGCTGAGGCATATGCTGTGCAGGGCTAGTGAGCCCTCCACTGGAGCGTGACCACAGGGCCAGACAACTGCTTGCCACGGTCTGAGAGAACAGAGTCTGAAGAGTGGTTGGAACGGATAACTTTTAAGCTACTTTCCAGTGATACAATTTTATGACCCTTAGGCTGAGCCAAGTGATGAATGTTGGGATTCTGGATTTTTCAGGGCCAGCCCAATTCATTAGAGCAAATGGGCTGTTTGGCTTCCTACTCTTCTTTTCTTGGCCCATCTCTCTCTGCCTTGGGTTTGATGGTTGGA